TGGTGGTAGTGACTTCTCTTGTCCTGTGCTAATTTATAACCAAAGTGACATAATAAAAGGATCTCTGGTTTTGATATTTCAGTGTTTCGTAACGGTTTTTATATTGTGTGCTTATATAGAAAATACAGATCTTAAAACCAGATACCAACAATCATGTTTGTTCTAGTTGTTTCGGTCCAGGGCATCTCATTAAATATATAATAGCCTGGTAAGCGTTTTCAGTGTTTTGATGGAGACACTGCTAATGAGTTATCCAGTGCAATATACCATGACAGTCATAGTGACCTTATCGAATCATTGTACATGAGTGTAATTTGTCATACACTGAGGCAAGAACCATGTGAAATAATCTTCAAATATGAGATCTCATATGACGAGATATAAACTTTTATGCAAATTGATTCAGAAGGCAACCTTTTTCCCTACCCACGACCTTTCCTCATGTTACCATGCTGTCTCCTGACTAGTGTACTCAAAAAGTGCTTTGGTTGAGATCATGTTTTCCATATAACTTCTGCTATTTGAATGGGTCCCATACAAGATTCTTGTACAAGTTCAGTATGGTGGTTTGTGCTGCTTTTCTCATTTATGGAAGAGAAAAGGATGGGCAGACCTGATGCACGTGTTACTCTTTAGGAGGCCCTAATAGCTTCTCTTTTGAGCCTGGCTGTAGCTGAGTTGTCAATCTCTAAACAGTAACAGTTTACATACGCCTAATGAAGTTGTGGATTTTAGCAGCTATCTTTTCCTGGAGGTTTCCTTTACAGCTGAAGCTGTTGATGTTATTGGCAGTGCTCAATTAGGGCAGAGTGGTTGGCATACTTTGAATGATAGAGCTTAATCCTGAGGATTGGGTTGACAGAAATTTTGGGCAGTTCAACAAGGGAAGTGCATATTTTCACTCCTGAGACAGCTTAATCTGATGCATTGTTACAGGCTGGGAACTGACTGACTTGAGCTGCAGCCCTGCTGCAGAGGATGCAGGGGTTACAGCAGACACAAAACTGAATGGGAGCCAGCCCTGCACGCTGGCTGTAAATAAAGCAAACCACATAGTAGGCTATAGTAGGAAAGTGGCCAGCAGACTGAGGGGAAGTCATCGCTTCTACCTGGGGCTAGTGAAGCTGCATCTGCAAGTATGTGTGTAGTCTGGGTTCCCCCAGTGTAAAATAGACATTGAGGAAGTGGAGTGAGGGCAGCAGAAGGCTACCAACATAATTACAGAAATGACAAAGCTGAACTCTTCTCAGTAGTGAGTTGTAACAACGGGTAATGGCCACCAAAAAAACCAAACGCATTTTTGATAGAAGGCAGTGCAGCAGTGGAACAGGTTATGCAGAGAATTTGGAGAATCCGCTGATGGAGGTTTTCAAAACTCAGTTAGACAAGACACGGTTACCTGATCTGATGTTGATTAACCCCCTGCTTAAAGCGGCACTAAGCGATCCCCAGAATTTCCTCCAGAAGCATGTCTATAACCCTCCTGGGTTTGAGTCCGGGGTGATAGCCAGGAAGCTCTGCCTCTTGTGCCTCAGCAGTTCCCAGTGCTCAGTAGGTCACCACAGTCAGAGCAGAGATCTGCCTGGTTCTACAAGTGGGATTGAGCATTGCATGCTTTAAAGGTGAGCATCTGAAAGATTAATTCAGAGAGTTTTCCTTGTCTGCATTTATACTATGTTGTTTAATCCAGGCTTAATCTAATAAGGCTGCTGACCTACAGCTATTGTATCCATAGTCAGATACTGATCTCATCTGGGATGTATCAGGTTCCACATGGGCTGAGAGAAGAAATCCCATCTGCAATTTACTACTTCTCAGCTGAGACCAGTGCCCAAGTGGATTAGGAGCCTCTTCTCAGTCTGCCTGAATTATTTGACTCTGGGCACACGTTGGAGACCACCATGTGAGGCCAGATCTGGCAGTCAAGCCAGACTTGTTCTTCATGGAGCAAATAAACTGTCACTCATGCAGGCTGAAAGTTACCCAGTGGAGAGGCAGAGGTCACTAAGCCAGCCATATCCTTCCTGAAACTAGAATGTGGCTGTATGAGCTCGTCTTTGCTCTGCTCTGTTTGACCAAGACATTGAGCTAATTTGTTTGATTTCTCACCCTGGAGGAGCAGAGCACTGTGACAGCAAAGGTGTCCTACAGTTTGCACCAGTCTCAGTTGCGGTGTGGCAGTGAACACTGACAGTTCCTCCTCAGAGCAGAGGCTACACAGAGCTGAGCTGAGGAAAAGCAAAGATACCGTTAAAGTCTGTTGTCAGCAAATAACGCTGTTTGACAGCTAAGACTAGAACAGCAACAATTCTCACCCTCAGCTGAGTTTTCCAGATATAGACAGCAACTTCAGTAGTAGCCTGTTGGAGCCCAAGTACTTGGCTGTTCCTTCTTCCCTTAATAAAAGAGAAGGAACAGAGCAGAGGTGAAACTCGTACAGCTGGACTCTTAGCTGCATTGTCAAACGTGGTTTCATACAGCGAGCTGGATTTCCCTCTGAGGCTGCAAGCCTGGCTGGCAGGCACTATATCCAGATTTAGAAGTCTTACAGATTTAGAGTCTTACAAGCCAAAAATACTGTGTAGGCTTAAGGTATGGGTACTGAAATATTTCATACAAAGCAGAACAATTCTAATAGGGAAGATTTGAAGTTTGCTCATTCCCCAGTCCTATTGTGACAGAAAGGAGATGCTGTTGCCCAAGGATGGTCTGAGTGCGGGTCTTCTATTTGATTGAATTCTCTGAACACTAGGACTGAAGCAGGGAATAAAGTCACGTCTTCTGCAGCTTTACAGAGCTACCCTTTCATTTCCTTGTCTTTTCTGAGATGTGTTTAGAAATCACACATATCATTAAAGGTCAAATGGAAATTTTGTTTTATACAGAAAGTTATTGAGAAGGAGTTGTTGGCTTTTGATGTGCAAAAAGAAAGGGTTTGTGTTTTGGCTTAATGCAAGCCAATAATTGTTTCCAATTTTTTAGTTTGATAACTCATTTTCTTCTAACTAGAAGGGCATGCTAAGAAAGGAACAGAAATTATAGGGAAAGGGTAGCTTTTTTTTTTTATATATGTTAAAATAAGTTGACTGAACTTGACCTGTAGTATTGTATTCTTCTGTTATGGCATTTCTAAACAAGACACTCTGGGCACTTTTTGCATAAATGTATGCCCCCCAATTTTGGAAAGTCTGGTTTGAGACATTGGGTTCTAGTTCATAGTGAGTACATATACTATATAATAGAATATATAGTAGAATACAATATATAATTTATAATATAAAATAACAAATATATCGTGTAATAGATGTAATTTATAGAGTGATTGACATGCGACCTAGGACTATCACTTTGTTACTATTTTATTATGATATTATGATACGTAATAGTTATAGACTACTATGCCTTTAAAGCAAAACAAAAAACTTCAAAAAAAGAATACAGAATAATTGAATTGGACACTCAAAATCAGTTATTTAAAAAGAAAATAATTGTCTTTTGGTTCTTCAGTAGATCATGTAGATAAGAATGCCCCTTCATCCCTCTTCTTTTAATTAAAATAAATATTTGTGAAGCGTTTATGTGCTATGATGATGTGAGCTTTACAAAAGCCTATCAGGAAATTGTTAATGATGCCTTCAGAGCAGTCTTTGAATGGTATTCAGCAGATTAGACATATGTCAAGCAACAAGGAGAAAACAAAGTGGTCACTTAGCACTACTCGGCTAGTGCCCTGAGTGAGGAAGGGGTCCTTTGACGATGTAATTACAGATTTAGCAAAATGGGTAGACAAAAGCAGGCCTAATTAAAGTTGCACAGTAATGCTTAATTTTGATATTTCTTAACTGCCAAGGTGACTTGGGTCTACATCCCCTTCAAGAGCTCTTCCATCAAACTATGGAGAGAAAACTTCTCTCATCTGGGCTGCTGACAGTGCTCAGAAATTACAAATTTGGGCACCTTGCTCCCATATAAAGGAAATTTAAGTGTGTTTATAAAGTAGACCATAAGACTCAGAAGTGATTGGGTGGTCTCCAGCCACCCCACATCAAAGGTTCTTAGGGTAGGTTAGTGAGTACATTGTTGACGGATGTGGATTTACATCCAGGGACTCAGGCAATAAAATTATCTGACAATCCACTACACTCCTTTTGTAACAGAACTGTCCCCTGAAAAGCAACTAGCAGCAATTGATCTCTCACGGACTTCGCTCTCAGTGGAACAGAGAACATACTGGAAAAGAACGTCACTGTTATTGCAATGTCAGTAAAAATACCAGATTTAATGGTGACAACAAACGAGGAATCTGACTTAAAGAGAGTGGTATGAATGTTAGGATTAACTGAACCAAAGACACATTTGTGATTGGTTTCCAGAAGATTTTGGTATCTGACAGTTTCATTAGATTCCACCTGGATGGCTCTATACAATGCAAAAAAAAAAAAAAAAAATTAAAAAAAGTCATACACATAGTTAGGAATCTGAAATGACTTTGATGTTTTTAATAGATAGTCGCCTGAGTACCCACTGCATGCTAATGAACTAATTAGAATTATGATATGATTATTTTTCTTCTCACTGAATAACAGGAATTTGCTAACCTAAAGCAAGATGAAAATGAATAAAAAGGAAGCAGGGGCATCAGACTGGCATTTCTCTGCATAATAGTCTCTTATTTGTAAACAAATGCAAGACACTTGATTTATATTGAATTATTTAGATATTTTGCCCATCTCACATTTGAACTTTTAGACCTTTCTATTCACATTTGTTTACATGAACTAATTCCATCAGTGATTTAATAGAATCAGTTATGTCTTGTTCCAAAAAGTAAATTATAATGAGATGTACTCTCTATAGTCAGCATGAGTCAAGTAGGAGAAGCTCAGATGATAGATTTAAGCATGGTTAGAAGGGACAACAAGAAAACTGTTGCAGGTTTCATGGCACATTTGAAAGCATGCTGTTGCATGATCTGAATGTGTTTGTCTAATTTCTTACAGGCTGTTTCCAGCTATGTAATATTTTTCGGACCCATGAGATGGAAATTGAGCAGTGCTTGCTGGAGTCCCTCCCTCTCGGCCAGCGGCAGCGGCTGGTGAAGCGGATGCGCTGTGACCAAATAAAGGCATATTACGAACGAGAAAAAGCTTTCCAGAAACGGGAGGGCTACGTGAAAAAGCTGAAACATGGAAAGAACCATCGAGTTTGTTTTAATCTTGCTGATATGATACAGGATGCAATCATACGTCATGATGATAAAGAAGGTACTTAGTAATGTTGAACTACTTTTTTCTTTTCTACTTTTTTTTTTTTTTGTCCTTTTGAAATATGTAACCACATTTTAGGGGTTCTGTTTTTAGTTTCCTAGCATTGTTTGAATCCCTGGTGCAGCTGATAGTAGTCTGAGGAATTTTGTAATTTACTCAAGAGGGAACCAAACCTTGCAGTAAGGATCTCTCAAGTCTTAGAAGTCCCCAGGATTCCCCATACTGTTGTGTGGGAGGGGTATCAGAAGAAAACCTGATGTAGTAATACTTTTAGCAACCCCTTTGCAAACAGGTTTTATGTCAGCTCTTTGTAATCACATTAGCACAAAACTACCTGAATTAGGGATGCTCTGAAATAGTCACATCATGCTGACGAATTGGCAAGTTTCTTGTCAGTTGATTAGGTATGGGTTTTTTACTCACTCCTGAATCTTCATTTTAATGGGCATTTGGTCTAGCTATCATTGCTTATCACTGAGGTCCAGTCCTACACATTTAGATTGATACAGGAAGTGAAAGAGCTCTTCTCTTCATGTGGGTTACTAAGTTACAAATAAAATTCAGAACCTTTCATTCCATTCTCCTAGTGTGTAAAAGGACAGGGATTATAAGTGAAGATCTTCTCCTGTATTCCCATAGCTCCCAACTTTCTCTAAAACCCAAGCAGAATACTAGATATGACTTTTAGCATTCTGTAAAAGTCAGATACTTGAGGCTGTTTTTGACATTTATGCTGAAGAAATGTAGCTTGCTTTTTGGAGTGGTGGTGGGGCATCAACAGTCTTTTGTGTTGCCCATACTTGGCCTTGACCTGCACCTGAATCAGAACAGAACGTCCGGCAACTGCTCAGACTGCATAGCATGAGCATAAAGGGAAGATACCTCAGGCAGAGGAAAATAAGGTGGGGGAAAACCAGGGATGGTGTCCTGCACTTGAAACAGCTAAAACAAGTCCCCAGAAGCAAGGAACTCAAAGAGCCCACAGATAACCCCAACCCAGTAGGCCTAACAACACTATCCTTAATTTGATGCTTGTGGTCCTTTCACAGGACAATGAAAAAGTGTGACTGATGTATTTATGCAGCTTGGGGACCTGCACCTGCCTGCCTGTCGTGATTTTAGCCAAATGTTCCCAGAGCCTGTCCCCTTTGAGCTGAATAATGGTATACTAAGAACTGTTAATAAAAACAAAAAGTAAAAAAAAAAAAAAATTGAAACTCATGGACATCAAAGCTGCTCTTCTGCTATTATTGCTGAGTGGAACATCCAACCATGATTCTTTCATGAAAGGACATTGTCTACATCAGGATTTCCGTTCAAATTAGACACGTGCATTTGTAGTGAATATCATATCCATTTACTGTGTTTCATCTTGTTTTGTGGAGCATGCAAGCTAGACTCCTTTCAGACAAAACTGAGCTGGAAGATGTGGTCTGGAAGCACACCTAGCACCTCCAAACAGTAATGGGTTTCTAATCTGTAAGCCCAGGCTAGGCATAGACTGAAGTAATCCCACTGAAACAGATATAGCTGCGGAAGCTGGGCTTTTGGCACCACCTGTTTGTCTTGTCTATTTATTCGTGTTTCAGTCGTTCATTCAACATTCATCATTCATATTACACATCGCTATTTACTACTGGGTATATATAGCCAATATGTTAATTATGATAGATCCTGGTAATTGCATGGAGTATCCGCCACCTCATTGCTGTTTCACATCAACTTTATCTATACAGCTGAGTAAATACAGCTCCAGTGTGAAAAAGAAGATCTAGACCCTCTTTCACCAGGTCCTAAGGCAGAAATGACTGCAATATAAGGCTGCAGATGGGAATGAGAATACATTTCCTGCCACTTCAAATGTCATGCCATCTCTTCAGCTCCCTTCTTTTGGTGAAATGATGTGGGGGACTGAGAAAGAGGTTGTAATACTGGGTTAAGCAAACAAAGGTGGGAAACAGGTTTTAACAGCTTGTCAGCCTTCCTTTCTTCCCGTAAATCCATGTCTGGTCTCCAGGATCTGGCTTTTACTGCACAGTGTGCTCAGTAATTAACAGCATTCCCAAATATGTTCAGTTTGAATATAGGGAACCACATTCATTAATGAGTATTTTAAAAATGCTTCTCTTTGCAAAAGCTGGGCATTGAACAATAATTTTTTTAAAAGTAGTACAATCCAAGTAGGTAGCAGAGAAGTTGGGGATGCCCCATCCCTGGAGGTGTTCAAGGCCAGGTTGGACGAGGCTTTGAGCAACCTGGTCTAGTGGAAGGTGTCCCTGCCCATGGCAGGGGGGTTGGAACCAGGTGATCTTTAAGGTCCCTTCCAACCCAAACCATTCTATGATTCTATAATTCTAAGTGCATTAACGTGAATTAGTAGTAATAGTTTAATGACATAGAATAAAATGCCTTCTGGTATATGAAGATAAGTTGTTATCCTGTGAAAAAATTGTGATTAAGACTGTTGTGAATATTGTATCTTGCAATAAATGCTGAAAGTAATCAAGATAAGAACTCAGCCAATCTTAAAAAAAAATCGGGTTTGTTTACTAAACATTATTAATTGGCAGCAGGGTATTTTAATGCAGTTTGAATGTCTTTACTTTTTCAGAGATAATTTGATTTTCAAACTATACATTTGGTTTATAATGAGATATTTAATAACAAGTGTAAAGGTGTGTTACAACATATTCAGTACTCAAATAGCTTCAGTCGACTGAATTCTATTAGGTGACGCTTTTCATTGTGGGTAATTAATTTTGTGAGCTTGAAGCGCGATGGCTTTGAAGAGATGAATTCCACTCAAAGGATAGTATAACTTATCCTGCCATTCAGGTCATATAGAAGCAGACTGTGGTATCCAAGAAGAGGACTGTGCAACCTGGATGCTTTAAATTAAATAACTGGATACACATAGACAGAATCAGTTTTGTGATGAGAATATAAATGTTTTTGTACCGTTTTTGTGATCCTTGGGTTCAAAGTGCTCATACGTCCTCAAGCTTCCCAGCTTTCAGGTTGTGGGGTTTTTCTTAAAAAGAAAAAAAAATAATGGCTAAAAATCTGGAATTCATACAGTTTTCTTCCAGTTTTACCTGGAAGAGGGTATACAACAACAGAATTACAAGAGAGTAGATAGATCCATAAAGAATTGTAGCTGTGTCTATTTTGTTCAGTTTTTAGATGTATTTAGGAATTGTTTGCAAATCTTGGACTCTTAAAGGCTTTACCCACAACTATGTGCTTCCTTCATTCTTTAAACTGAAGCACTACCAAAGTCTGTCCTGTCCTCCTCTGAGACTGTTAAGCAAAATCCTGTTTGTTGATGAATCCTGGAGTAGTTTTACTTGGTTTGGGGTCTGGTTATAAAAAAATTTATGTCAGTTACACATACTGATTAAGTAGAAAATGTGGACAAAATAAACAGGAGTGGTTAAAAAGGAGGAAATTAAGACCTATGAGAGTGTTAAAGCAATGCTCATATCTGAACAGTTTGAACGCAGCTGTTAATAATTCAGCAAGAAAGAACACCCATTCTGTAGGCGTAAAAGACACCTAGAGAAGGATGTTTCACAGTTCTATGAAGGGAATGCAAAAGGTGTAGTATAGAAAGTGGAAAGAGGACACAACAGCAGAATAGGAAAGAAGTAGCCTCCCAAGTGAAGTTCAGGGGCTCATTTCTTACGGAATATCATAACCTATATAGACTGGACAACCCATTTGGAAATAGTGAGAAGTAGTCTGAGTTGGTAGGTGAGATAAATTGGATATCATTAATATATATATAAAGACGAATTTATCATGTGGCTAGTACAGAGACATTTCACACCTGGTGATTGGAATTTCAGTCTTAAGAATTCATAGTCTTTGTTATTCATGAAGAATGCAATGTATCTTCTCCAAAATTACTATAGCATCTGCTACTAGGCACAAAATGCATCTCTGATACTGTATGCTAATAGATATGATCATTAGTTTGCATTAAAATTCATTTTAGAATGGGCTTTTAGAAATTTTTACCAGTGACCTGCTTTCTCTCAGGTTTAGAAATGAAATATATGCGCATTCTATTTCTCACAAAGATAAAAACTAGCAAAATGTTGTGTCTTTGTTCTGTTTGGAGGCATTTAAAATTATTTAGTGTATTTTTTTATTATTATTCCCAACTGATATTTAGTCTTTTATTTGACCCAAGAAGATTAAAAGAAAATCCTCCTTCTCCCTGCAGCTTCCTGCAATTTCTCATTTTTAAAGTAATATGCTTTTTATTGTTGTTGGTGGGCCACATTCAGCCACCCCTACTAACAGTGAGCATTTTGAGAGATTCTACAGATACCGTTGTCAGTGATGGCATGTATAAGAGGGGAAGCTGGTGAATAAGAGAGCGCTGTGTGTTTTTTGACACCAGTTTTGTACATCTCTATTGCTGGCAATGGAATACCTGTAGTTCATTTGCCTTTAAATTCTTTATAGCTTTGTTCTGTGAGATGTTAAATCCCTATTAATAATGGACAGCAGGATATTTGTGCTGCTGACATCAGTCATATAATTTTACTGCAAATTGGGAGATTTAGCCAAGCAGAATTCTGTGTCCCCTTCCTTCCCGCTGTGAATTAGAAATGCTTGCACCTACACTTAGCATTAGTGCGGACTCAGATTTTCTTCTCTGAAACACATACTCCAGTATTTGCTGAGCCTGCACATCAGTTTAGATTCATGTCCAAGCAATTAAGAAATGAACTGAGCAATCAGGAAATAAACTGAGTGAATCCGAGACAGAGTTTCTGCTTCAAATACGAGGTAGTCAGGCCAAAAGGATTTGGTATTTTGGTATCTTAAGAGATATGCGTCCTTCCTGAAGCAATGGTGGAGTTATTGCCACTGACAACAATGGCAAAGAGTGGCTACTTTGAAAGAGGTGATTTTTTGAGCTTGAACTGACAGATAGAACTTGCCATGATGAAAACAGTAGCTAAAAGGGAATGTGACAGCCCTGT